CTGAGAAAAGGAAACTTAAAAACTTAAACAAAACTTAAAAGTTTTCTATGAATGCTTATTACTGTTTAAATCTTTTCGATGGAAATTGTATCATCTTAAATGTGTGTTTTATCCAAACAAATCTATTCTAAAAATCAAATAGTAGCTGTCACACTCTTGGATAATGGGCTGCACGGTTACCATGACAATGACCATGGGCTGAAGCAAACAGAGTTTCGGCATGTAACAAAACTAGAAAAACGTCCTGCCTGGCTAGAGGCGGGGCAATAAAACTATTATGATAATTTAGTTTCTAATCTTAATCCTAGGAGAAACTGCCTTTGGGAACAAGAGCTGACTAACCAGTCTACAAGGAAATAGAAGTTTAAAAATATCTAGAAAAAAGTACAACTTAGAAGGGACAAAGTCATATAAAATAATTCTACTGTGCAACTTTCCATCAGGTGTATAGAGATTTACTTATAAAATTTTACTGCCATGTATGCACACTGGTCACTAATCACATGCCAATATTATAGGTATAAACTGATATCCTATGTCAGAGGCGATCTTCCAGATGGGCCTTTACAGGCCTCAGCCATGTAGCTATAGATGTTGGCTCCCAACAATCTGTTTTCACTTTTCAGTGAGTTAAGAGAAGATATAATCCTAATAATTATTAGGGACAGAGGGAATACAGTGAAATCAGATTAGACCAAATAACATCTTTGAAAATGAGTGACAGGATGGAATGGCCAGAGCATAGCTATGAGGATAGACCACGGTGTCTGCCATAGGTAATAATCATGCTTAAGGAAAAAGACAGAGCAGGTACAGCAGCAGCATCCAAAGGCTGTGATAAGAACTCATAGAGGTGACTGCATGATTTGCAAAGTTAAGCCTAATGTTGGATTTCTGTGCTGCAGTGGTTAAAATCAGAGCACATGTAAGAGGCAACCTCCATAGAACCTTTGGTAACAAGAATCTGCATTGTGTATTTTATACCTAAGATGCCACTTATTTGAAAAGTGGAGATAAAAATGTCCCCAAACAAGTATCTTTGCCAGCAACTTCATACTGTCAGTTACAAATCCAAGTGTATTTATAAAATTAGAAATCTGCATATCTATGCAGGGGAAGGAAAGAATAATAGATACCATAGGGATGGTTAAACAACCAATTAGAAAAAAATATACCACCTTATTCTGTATAATAAACTCTAGATGAATGAATGAGCTGATTAAATGTAATCTTTGAGACCATAAAATTACTAGAAGAAAATATAGAAGAGTATTTATATAATATTGGTTGGGAAAGACCTTCTTAAAGCATGATATCAAAACAGGAACCCTAGAGAAAGACTGGCTTTTTAAAAATGGAAAACTAGTGTTCAGAAACAAAATCAAGAAAAGGCAAACAGCAGACTAAGAAAAACTGCTTGTAACAAATATAAAAAGCTACAGCTTTTTTCTTAAAAACTTTTTTATAGTGGTGATTAAAAGTTGACTACCTCAGAAATAAAAAAATAGTTAAAGAACATTAATCATTCCGTTCTTACAAGAAAAAATACAAATGGACAATGATAGGAAATAAATTTAAGGTATTCATCAGATAATATAAAATAAGAGAGAAGTAGTATTTCTCTTCTATCAGATTGTCAAAGAATAATGGGTATAGGTATGTCAGTTTTAACTGCTAGACTACATAAAATGCAGTCTCAAAACTCTTAAGGAAGGAATAGAACTTTTTTAGTGATGATTTGGTTAAGGCTATCAACTTACTATTAAATGTTCATTTCACATAAGAAGTCAGGGGAAGCGATAAGATTTAATATTGCTGATTTGTTCATGATGATAAATATTTTGGGGGAAGATGAGCCTGCATTTTAAAGTTGATGCTAATTCTGTCAAATTTGAAAGTTGAAGATAATTCCTAGGAGGATTTTCCAGGCTTATTCATGCAGGAGCACCCTCTGTTGGAAGCAACACCAGCTGTCATTTACTGACCCCAGGCAGAATGCAGTCTGGGAGAGGGACTGCCCTATGGGGTCTACAGTCCTGAGGGAGTGAGGGGTACATGACATGGTGGTGATTCCCAGACCCTGGACATCCTCCTGCATGCCCACCAGCCCAAATTTCTGAAGGGCTTGCTCTGTTCCGAAGGCTGTGCCAAGCACTCACTGAGGCAGTGATTGTCTATCTATTCACTGCTGTGTCCCCAAGGCCTAGAACAATGCCAGCAGAGTGTGGGTGTTCAATAAATGTTTGTTGAGTGACTGTTAGTCATGTGTTCCTGATTCTCTTGGAGAGATCAGCAGTAAGTAAATAAAGAAGTCATTTAAGGTATGAGATGTGTTGGGAAGGGACTACGCTGCATGACAATGTGGAAGGAATAGGGTCTTAGGTTGTGTGTTCTGGGAAGGTGATAGAAAGCAAAAGAGCCAGTCAGATGGTTGCAGAAAGATGCCCCTGTCCTTCTCTGAGGGCATGCTTGACCCGGTGAGGAGACAGACAGCAGACAGGTGATGGAGCCCATTTCTGTTCAGGTTAGGGTAGAGCTTCCTCCAGTGTGCCTGCATTTGATGAAGAAACCAAGGAACACAGCAATCCTACTTTTAAACTCTTAATTCTCTATGTTTGCCATATCCTAACATAGTATTTGCTTTTTGTTTCCATTTTTTTTAATTTAAAGGATTTTTTTGTTTTGTTTTGTGTTTTTTGATAGATGAGGGTTACTACCAGGGTGGAAAATTTCAGTTTGAAACTGAAGTTCCCGATGCGTACAACATGGTGGTGAGTAGCCTGCGATGAGCCTGTTGTTTTCCTTCTTGGACGGGGGTGCCTGTGGCTGGTGACCTGCTGCTGGCCCATCGCCCTAGCAGTCTCCTCAGTGTGTGTCCATGTGTGGCTGAGCATGGAATTTAGTAATTTTGTGGTGAATGTCACTTGTAAGCAGTATGTAGAGTGTCAGTAGAGAAATTGTTTATTTAACAATATTTACGCATACTGTGTGCCAGGCAGTCTGCCTATGTATTTTATGCAAACCTTATGTGTTTAAGTCTGGCAATGAAGAAAAATAAACATTTTATTTAAGACTAAAGCTTTGTTTACAGTATAATACCACAATTTCATAAGCCTATAAAATGTGTTTTAAAATTTCAGAGAATAATGACTTATAATTTTAAGCTATAATTTATGCTCATAACTACATGTTAAGCCCTCAAAGACCCTTCTAGATAATAATTATAGCAAATACTTTCATATTCTGTTTTTGCTTTTGAGGAATTTACAGACTTAGGGAGGTGTGATGAAGTGTAGAAAGTTGATAAAGTGATAAAAGTTGTAAGTAGCGAAACAGTAAAGATATTGGTCAATGATAGGAAACTGATTTTCAGAAATTAAGAAAAGGATATGAATCACTTTTGGAAAGTGATTAAGGCCAGTTAATCTCTCTCTCCCTTTTTTCCCCCCATTTTTTTTTGAGTCAGAGTTTTTACTCTGTCACCCAGGCTGGAGTGCACTGGCATGATCACGCCTCAATGCAGACTTGACCTCCTGGGCTCAGGTGACCCCTTCTGCCTCAGCCTTCCAAGTAGCTGGTACTATAGACACATGGTATCATGCTCAGCTAATTTTGATTTTTTTGTAGAGATGTGATCTCACTATATTTCCCAGGCTGGGCTTGAAACAGTCTTCTTGCCTTAGCCTCCCAAAGTGCTGAGGTGTGAGCCACCGCACCTAGCCTGAGGCCAGTTCATCATTTAAAGAGAAATAGAATTTGAGTTGTCCTGATTTGGCCCAGAGCCAGGAGAGGGCATTCTAGGTGCCATGGGAGCATGGGAAGCAGTCTGCCTAGTTGGTTGCTGCTGAGGATGTGCGTGGATTTGAAAACTTGCAGCCTGTGGAAGGCAGATGGACCCGGATTACTTGAATGAAGAATTGGGGTGGGGAAGAATGGGAGAGAAAATGAAAAAACTCAGATCAGGGATTTTATTGGGCATTTTCAGTTTGGTAGTGAGCAACCACCACAGGTTCTGAATAACTCTACATACTCCTGAGTGGGGTGTTAGAGATGGTGTGGGCATGCCTCAGGTGCCAGCATGGAGTGTCTCAGTTCTCATTGCCAGGAATGGACACATGGCCAGTTCAGCTTGCTTGTTTTATTTATATATACTGCGTACATATGTTTCTCCTGATATTTTCTAACCTTCTCAGCCTGTCAAATGGGAAAGAAAAATCTGATGGTGGTATAGTGAAAAAATGAAACCTTTTGTTAATTTGAAGAAGTGAGTATTGGAGACACCATGTGCCCCATTACTTTGCTTGCAGTAAATGTGCTTTCCACTGCTTGACAAGTGGAGTTACGCCTGACCCCAAATACCAGGGTTCAGGTCAGTGGCTGCAACACTTTTTTAAAAAGCCAAACCTTAATCTATGGAAATTGATTTTTTTACTGAGCTATACTACATTATAAATTCTTTTTGAAATAAGGAGTCAGTAATCCAAGAAAAAAAATTGATTTTTAAACTGAGACAGGAAATACACATTTCATGTCTTAGTTCATTCATCCAGCCAGACAGCTACCTGCAGAGACTTTCCATTCTCCTGAAGTCACAGATTGAGAAACCTGACTGTCTACCGCCGGGTGAGAAGCAACTTAAGAAGTTTGGTTTAAGTACAGATATTTAGAATTTGAGGGTTATTTGGTGGTTTCTGGACACAGCCAGGCATATAATATTTTAAAATTTCAGACTTGCCACTAAATATCTGTACATAGGCATGTCTATGGATTATGCATTGAAAGTAAGAATGTGTAGCCGGGCTCGGTGGCTCAGCCTGTAAATCCCACGCCTTTGGGAGGCTGAGGCGAGTGGATTGCCTGAGCCTGTGGGTTCGAGACCCGCCTGGGCAGGCGAGACCTCATCTCTACAATAAAATCAAAAAATTAGCTGGGCGTGGTAGCGTGCGCCTGTAATTCCGGCTACTTGGCAGGCTGAGGCGGAAGGATCACCGGAGCCCAGCAGGTCGAGGCTGCAGTGGCCGGGAGTGGCCACTGCACTCCAGTCTGGGCGACAGAGTGAGACTCCAACTCAAAAAAAAAAAAAAAAAAGAAAGTAAGAATGTGAAAATCAAAGGTAGTGAGTTTATAACACTGTTCTTCTGGATAGCTTGAGGGGGAGTTTAGCACACGCTGGTAAAGCAAACAGGCAGAGACACCGCAGAGCCATCATTTCAGGCATATCAGGCACATTTAGCAGGGGAGATTCATGTTCTCTTTATAAGAAGAAAGCTACAACATGGTAAAATACCAAGGAAGAAATGGGCAGCTAGTGAGAGCTGCTGTGTGCCAGGCATCTTCACTCACATTTCTTTATTCTGTTCTTCTGGTAGTGGGTGATTTTAATATTCATATCATTAGGAAGTTTGTACTCAGAAAGCTAAACTTTAAAAATTAGCTTTGCCAGTGTAGACGCTGAATTGCCGAAACCGATTCATATTCATGGCCACCCAGCTTTTAAACGTGTGCCCTTCCCACTATACAGGTGGTGAGAAGACGGTCATACTGTCCCATCCTATAGTGACTTAAAGAAATACATAGGAGAATGAAAAAAAGAGAGGCTAGAAGCCGCTGAGCCTCTAAGACTCATTTCCCTAGTTAATTGGTGACTGGCACAGAGGTCGAAGTGAAGGGTAAAGCTTGAATTTTCCAGAGATTTTCCTGTCTCCTCTCTTGGACCTTCCACTCTCCAGCCCCCTCACCACTATCACTTCCCTTGGGAAGGCAGAAACACTTGATCTCCCATCCCTGTAGCCCTTCTAAAGTTCCGTGTACAGTGTTTGACCTTCAGATTTGTTACAGTGATCTTACATTTTTATATTTTGCTGTTGGAAGTTTTCTAAATGTTGTGCTGGTTAGATTTCATAGGAATAAAACCCCACATTCTGAAGCCCAGAGATACTGAGAGCATCTGGTGGCTCTGGGGAGACCTAGTTCCTAACCTGTCTCTGTAGGGTTCTTTCCTCTTTCCCTCCCTGACCTATCCATCCCATTTTCTTCTTGAGTTTTCTACCTCTCTGCCTCTCATCCAGGTGAGTGTGGGTCATTTTCCTTAGTGGCAAAACAGTGTGTGTCACTGGCATCCATGGGAGGGTGTCTCCAGGGGACCATTAATTGCAGGACTTCGTTGAATATAAAAGTAGTTGTGTTGGCCATGTTTATAATTAATCTTTACATAAATAGCTCTTTAGCATCTCTTTCCTGCTAGGCCATGAGCCCTGAAGGAGGAGTCCAGACTGCCTTGCCTATACTGTATTTCCAGCATATACTATGCCTGCTGTGCTAGATGAGAAATGTAGACTGTCCAGAGGTTGACTCTCTCTGCTCCCCCACAAACTTAACAGTGCAGAAAACAGAGATTAAAAAATTTAACCAGGCTGGGCGCGGTGGCTCAGCCTGTAGTCCTAACATTGAGAGGCCAAGGCAGGAGGATTGCTTGAGCCCAGGAGTTCGAGACCAGCCTAGGCAACATAGTGAGATCTTGTCTCTACAAAAAATTTTTTAAAAATAATTAGCTGGGCATGGTGGTGCATAGTGGTATAGTCCCAGCTCCTCAGAAGACTTAGGAGGAAGGATCACCTGAGCCCAGAAGGTCAAGGCTGCAGTGAGCTGTCATTGTGCTACTGAACTCCAGCCTTGGCAACAGAATGAGACCCCGACTCAAAATAATAATAATAATAATAATGATAATAATAATTCAACCAGCATGTGAAGATATATAGGTACAGACATCGGGGTGGGGAGTATGAGAGTAAACTCTGAGGGCACCTTGTTGATCAGCATGAGCAGACGCATCCATGTCCAGGGTTGTGTCCTGGGGCTGGCTGGGGCTTCTCAGGTCCATCTGCTTCTCTGTCTCGACTTGCATGACTTATGTGCTTTATAAGGACTTTTAAAAACCTCTGATAGTTATAGTTCCTGCAGTGAAGTGCTGTTATTAACATTGTGAATCTAAAAAACTTTTAATAAGGTTGATTATTATTTTAGAATAAACTTTTAAAAGAAAAATGCCTATTTGAAATCTCCCTTCCCATATACCCTCCCTCCCCCATATCCCAGCAGCTAAAAGTCAAATTCCCTTTGTTTATTTGTCCCTTTGACTCTGAACTTTACTTCAAAGTCTGAAGCCTGCCTCATATTCCCTATTAGTTTAGAAACTAACTGATGTAGTGACATTTAATGAGATCCTCTAGTATGCCAGGCTCTGTATCAGACACTGCAGGGCCAGGGATGAAAAGTTGGTAGCTTTTAAGAATTTCAGCCTCCTGGGAGATGACATACAGTCATGATAATGACGAGCTTGGTAATGTAGGGGTAGTGGGGACACCAGAGGAGGAGCACATGACATGGCCCTGGGGTGACCTGGAGGAGGAGGGGCACCTCAGCCCAGAAGCAGGCTAGCCTGATTGATGTCACAGTCTTTAGATGTGTCAGTGTGTCAGTCATGAGCCAACTGGAGGAAAAAGTGTGCTGAAGCAGAAGAAAGGAGATGCAGCTCATTGCTTTTTGGCTCTGGTTTCCTTCTAGAAGTGACAGACATTACATCCACTTACCTGTTGGCCAAAACAAGTAACATGGTCATGGTCAGCCAAGAGGGGGTAAGGAAGGGCATCCTGTCATATCCCCTTAGAGTCACTTGTTGACTAGTAGTCATGACAACCACAAGAGACATCTGAATTCCTGCCTACTTGCCCCTGTTCCTTTTGTATAATTTATTAGATTTTGTAGGATATTG